ACCAGTACCAGCAACACCCCCAGGTACACCAGTACCAGCAACACCCCCAGGTACACACCAGTACTAGCAACACCCCAGGTACACACCAGTACTAACAACACCCCAGGTACACACCAGTACTAACAACACCCCAGGTACACACCAGTACTAGCAACACCCCAGGTACACACCAGTACTAGCAACACCCCAGGTACACACCAGTACTAACAACACCCCCAGGTACACACCAGTACTAGCAACACCCCAGGTACACCAGTACTAGCAACACCCCCAGGTACACCAGTACCAGCAACACCCCCAGGTACACCAGTACTAGCAACACCCCAGGTACACACCAGTACTAGCAACACCCCAGGTACACACCAGTACTAACAACACCCCAGGTACACACCAGTACTAACAACACCCCAGGTACACACCAGTACTAACAACACCCCAGGTACACACCAGTACTAACAACACCCCAGGTACACACCAGTACTAGCAACACCCCAGGTACACACCAGTACTAGCAACACCCCAGGTACACACTAGAACTAGCAACACCCCCCAGGTACACACCAGTACTAGCAACACCCCAGGTACACACCAGTACTAACAACACCCCAGGTACACACCAGTACTAGCAACACCCCCAGGTACACACCAGTACCAGCAACACCCCAGGTACACACCAGCACTAGCAACACCCCAGGTACACACCAGTACCAGCAACACCCCAGGTACACACCAGTACCAGCAACACCCCAGGTACACCAGTACTAACAACTATCCGAGTACTACCAGTACTACCTAATCTATCTCCCTTGTGGATTTGTTCATTTGATGCATCACGTTAGTGTGATCTGTGTGTGATGATGTGAGGGCGAAGAGGGAGAACGGCCTATTGACCTAACTCGGGTGCAGGGGGGAGTTGTGTAAAAGCCTGGTTTGTGCCTCTGAGAGGCTACGGGATCCATAAGTTCTCTAGAACTTCGGTTTCAACTCTTTTAACCCCCTGTCGTAGCTCAGTCGATTAAGGCAATGTATGAGATGCTCCCGGACGCAGGTTCGAATCCTCGTCAGGGCCCTTGTGGATTTGTACAACCAATAATATAATAGAGAGCAGCTTCAGTTGCCTGCAGAAATGGATCCAGACTCTTAATCGTGGGCGATTTCAATCACGGAAAGATAGATTTGGAGAATGGGGACCCACATGGAGGTGCAGATACATGGAGAGCTAAACCCTTGGAAGTGGCAACAAGAAACTTTCTGAACCAGCATGTCAAGGGACCAAGAAAAAATGTGAGGCAATGACGAACCAGCTAGACTCTACCTGATATTCACCTTGAATGAGTCGGAAATAAGGGAAGTCCAATTTAATGCCCCCCATAAGAATGAGTGACCAGTGTATTGACATTTGAGTATCTGGTGGAGGTAGGGATAACCTATCCAAGGATGGGATCAGAAAGGAGAAGGCTAAATTTCTGAAGACGAAAATATAATGAGAAGAGGAACTTCCTAATGGGAATGCCATAGTAAACAGAACTCTGAGAATAGTCTGTACAGCATATGATGGACTATGTCACCCAGAAGTGCTAGGAAGCAGCAAACAGGTTTATCCCGGACCAAAAGGAGAAAAACGAAAAGCAACAGAAGAAATCCATGGTTCAACCATGTATGTAAGGTAGCGAAGCAACTGAGTAAAAGAACATGGAGAAACTACAGGAACAACAGAACACCAGAGAGCAGGGAGAGATACCAGAGGGCCAGAAATGAGTACCTCAGAGTGAGGAGAGAAGCAGAGAGACAGTATGAAAATGACATAGCGAGTAAAGCCAAGACCCAACCAAAACTACTCCTAAGCCACATCTGGAGGAAAACAGCGGTGCAGAACATGTGATGAAACTGGGAAAAGGGGAGAACAGATACACAGAGAATTACAAGGAGGTGTGTTAAGAACTCAAAAAAGAGAGATTCCAGGAGGTCTTCACAAAAGAACAAGGAGAAGCCCCTGCACTAAATGAGGAGGCGGCAAACCAAGCAACCTTGGAGGGAATTTGACCTCAGCAGTGATGAGGTCAAAAGGAATCTGTTGGAGCTGAATGTGACAAAGGCTGTTGGGCCTGACAGAATCTCACCGTGGATACTAAAGGAAGGTGCAGAAGTACTGAATGTGACACACTCTATGGTGTTTAACAGGTCACTGGAAACAGGAGACCTACCAGAAAGCTGGAAGACAGCTAATGTAGTCCCAATATATAAAAAAAGGTGACAGGCAAGAGGCGCTGAACTACATGCAAGGTGATGGAAAATATCGTAAGAAAAAGGCTCGTAGAACATCTGGAGGGAAATAGCTTTGTAACACACCATCAGCATGAGTTCAGAGATGGTAAATCGTGCCTCACATGTTTAATAGAATTCTACGACCAAACAACAAAAATTAGGCTAGAGAGAGAGATGGGAGGCAAACTGCATTTTCTTGAACTGTCAGAAAGCCTTTGGTACAGTACCCAATAAAAGGGTGTTACAAAAGTTGGAGCAGCAGGCAGGAGTAAAAGGTAAGGTGCTCTAGTGGATAAGGGAGTATCTAAGCAACAGGAAACAGCGAGTAACTGTGAGGGGGGGGGGGAATGCATCAGAGTAGCGAGATGTCATCAGCGGAGTCCCACAGGGCTCTGTATTTGGACTCATCCTGTATCTAATATATGTAAACGATCTTCCAGAGGGTATAGACTCATTCCTCTCAATGTTTGCTGATGATGCAAAAATTATGAGAATAATCAAGACAGGTGAAGATAGACTACAGGACGACCTGGACAGGCTGGAGGAAGGCGACGAGTCACAATAACGTGGCTAAAGTATGTTACCAGGACTCAACATGAACTTGAGTCCTGGCTTTATTGCTGTGGACTCTTCCCTTTCACAGTATATACTCAAATGCTCTAATCTTTCTAACAAACGTGACCTAACATAAGGAAAGAGAATGGAAGGGCTAGGCTTTTCTTTCTCTCTTCTCCCTTTTTTCTGTTCATTGTCTTTTCCTACGCTCCGTTGCTATCCTCTTCTTATTCCTATCTCCTCATTCGGTGGTTATAATAGGAGCTGCCTCGTATGGGCCAATAGGCCCTCTGCAGTTCTTATTATTATCCCCTCTACTACACCTTTCTTTCCTCCCCAGCTCTCTCTTGCCTATTTATTGCCTGTCCCTACTTCCTCATCACAATCGACTTGAGAATGGTCCAGGACGGACCGAAACGTCGTCGTCCCTTCACCTTCTAGTGTGTGGTCTGGTCAACAAACTGGAGGAACGGTCTAGAAAATGGTTGCTAAAGCTCAACTCAAGAAAGTGTAAGATAATGAGATTAAGCGAAGTGAGCAGATGGCTGAACACAAGGTTCCACCTGGAAGGTGAAATTGTGCAAGAGTCAGAGAGAAAGATCTTGGGGTTGATATCACACCGAACCTGTCCCCAGAGGCCCTCATCAAAAGGATATTATCAGTGGCATATGCTAGGTTGGCCGACATGAGAACTGCCTTTAGAAACTTGTGTAATGAACTGTTCAGAACCCTGTATTCCACTTATGTCAGACCAATCCTGGAAGATGCAGCTCCAGCCTGGAGTCCATACCTAGTTAAACACAAGACAGTGTTAGAGAAGGTTCAGAGGCATGTCACCAGACTCGTCCCGGAACTGAGAGGTATGAGCTACGAGGAAAGGCTAAAGGAGCTGAACCTCACGTCCCTGGAAAATAAAATATTAAGGGGAGACATGATAACTACCTACAAAATTATCAGGGGAATGGACAGGGTGGACAAAGATAAACTCTTTAGCACGGGTGGAACACGAATAAGGGGACACAGGTTAAAACATAGTACCCAGATGAGCCACAGAGACATTATAAAGAATTTTTCAGTGTCAGAGTGGTTGACAAATGGAATGCATTAGGCAGTGATGTGGTGGAGGCTGACTCCATACACAGTTTCAAATGTAGATATGATAAGAGCCCAGTAGGCTCAGGAACCTGTACACCTGTTGATTGACAGTTGAGAGGCGGGACCAAAGAGCCAGAGCTCAACCCCCGCAAGCACAATTAGGCGAGTACACACACACACACACACACACACACACACACACACACACACACACACACACACACGCACACACACACACACACACACACACACAATAACTGCCCCTCACAGTTCGGGCTACACAATATCTGCCCCTCACAGTTCGGGCTACACAATAACTGACCCTCACAGTTTGAAGTGCATATTAACTGTGCCTTCACAGTTTGGAGTGCACAGTGAAGCACGCTGCGTCAATGTTCAGTATTCAAAGTTGGAGTTCATTATCAACTTGGACGTTCATATTCACTGTACAGGCAGTCAACACGTCTAGAACGTAAGGAACGTGACGGAAAACCTCACCGTCTTCACATTACAGAGAACAGAGACGAACATAGATTACAGCTATTGTGAACGTTCAAATAAACATTCCCTCTAACACACCTCTACTGTACCGAGTTTCACCAGTTACAGAACAACCTGCAAAATGAGACCATAAGTCTAAGCCTCCAAAACTCGCTTTACAAAGATTGTTTAAACCTTTCCGCTTTTTGAAATCTAAATAAAGTGTCATTCAGGACCTTATCTGCCACGTATGTCAGACTATTTCTGGAATACGCGGCTCCAGCGTCGAGTACTTGTATTGTTAAGTGCAAAACGAAGTTGCACAACGTCCAGACGGTTGTCATCAGACTTGTCCCAGAGCTGAGAGGTATGAGTTAGGAGGCACTGCTGAAGGAATTATATCTCATGGCGTGGGACAAAATCTTACTGAAGCGATCATACGAGTCATATTTACTCATACTCCGCCCAAGTAAAACAGAAACAAGCGACACTTAGAGGGCCAGCCAGAGGCTTAGGGCCCGCCCAGTGGGCCAGCCAGAGGCTTAGGACCCGCGCAGGAAAAAAAACTCACGGTTCTGTAGGAAGTTTAATCTGGCAGAGAATACCACCACCTGAACACTTCCCCAACGGAACTGGTAGGAGGAGTACTGGTAGTAGGGGCACTGGTAGTACGGGCACTGGTAGTACGGGGTACTGGTAGTACGGGGTACTGGTAGTACGGGGTACTGGTAGTACGGGGTACTGGTAGTACGGGGTACTGGTAGTACGGGGTACTGGTAGTACGGGGCACTGGTAGTACGGGGCACTGGTAGTACGGGGCACTGGTAGTACGGGGCACTGGTAGTACGGGGCACTGGTAGTACGGGGCACTGGTAGTACGGGGCACTGGTAGTACGGGGCACTGGTAGTACGGGGCACTGGTAGTAGGAGTACTGGTAGTACGGGTACTGGTAGTAGGAGTACTGGTAGTACGGGTACTGGTAGTACGGGTACTGGTAGTACGGGTACTGGTAGTACGGGGTACTGGTAGTAGGAGCACTGGTAGTACGGGTACTGGTAGTACGGGTACTGGTAGTACGGGTACTGGTAGTACGGGGCACTGGTAGTACGGGTACTGGTAGTAGGACAAACTAGGTAAGATTATTATATATAGATTGTCCATGAACAATTAGAGACAAGATAGCACTCAGCATCAAAATCAACAATAAACATGCAAAATAATGTCTTCAGATTGAGAACAGCCAACAGACGGTATGAACAAAGACGTGACTCAGTGCTGGCTCCACATACAACCTTTCAACCACCCAATTGCCTTGGTAATGAGTAAAAGCAATTGACTGAAGAAGGTTGAGAGAGGCGGGACCAAATATCTGAAGTTAAACTTCTGAAGGCGCAGTTAGTTGAGTAAAATTTGTTTGAATAGTGCCCCTTCATGTATTTTTTTTACCTCAGACGTGACCACATGTTTATTGAAGGAAACCCAGCATGTATTTTCTTGCGTCGCCAGTGGACAGGTGTCGGACGGTGTTGGAGGCGTGTTGGAGAGCATACTGTGTAGTGAGTTACTAATCACTCATGCACAGTGATTGTAGTGAGTTACTGAGTACTCATGCACAGTGAGTGTAGTGAGTTACCGAGTACTCATGGACAGTGATTGTAGTGAGTTACTGAGTACTCATGCACAGTGATTGTAGTGCGTTACTGAGTACTCATGCACAGTGATTGTAGTGAGTTACTGAGCACGCATGACTGTGCCAACCAAGGTAAGGACATTCTGAACTGTCTTACACAGCCAGTGTTCGAGGTCGTGCACATTGTGGAGTGAATTATTGAGCAGTGCGCTCGAGCGAGGGGTTGATGACCGCCCTGACCCCTGACTCTCCTCTCTACGCCTCAGACGGTTGACAGTAGAGCACCAGTGACACTAGAGGAGAGGCTGCTCCTCTCACTGTCTCACGCTCCTATTTCCGCTCTCACCCCGCTCCTCTCTCTCCTCTCTGCTCGCTCGCTCTCTCTCTCTCTCTCTGCTCTCTCTCTCTCTCTCTCTCTCTCCTCTCTGCTCTGGCCCTCTATATCCTCGAGACCCTCTTCTCACTCCTACCTATTTCCATTTTAATACATTTATTATCGTTCTTCTCAATTTTCCTGCCCATTTCTCTTTCCGTCTCTCACCCTGTCCCCCTTGCATGTTTCCTCCCCTCTATCTCTCTCCCTTCCCCTTTCCCCTGGGAGACTCTACTCTCCATCTCTCTCTCTCTTTCTCTCCTCCCCCTCTCCTCAAGGGAGCCTCCACTCTCCCCCACAGACAGAACCAACCCTCACCTCACACATGCAAACAAATGTCCAGATATTTGTGTAAACACAGCGGGACATGTGGCATTTCCCTCCGCCGACCGTCGCTAACTTGAGGCAACAATGTTCCGCCCGCCACAGTGTTGAGGATTGTTGACGCGACTGGGGCAGCGAGCCGTTCCTTTTGACGTCCCCAGCTTGACGTCCCCAGCTTGACGTCCCCAGCTTGACGTCCCCTGCTTGACGTCCCCAGCTTGACGTCCCCTGCTTGACGTTGTAAGCTTGACGTTGTAAGCTTGACGTTGCCAGCTTGACGTTGCCAGCTTGACACCAAGAGTTTCCGACCGCTTCCCCCGCCCGCCTCCACCATAATTTCCGATCGGTTGAGTTTGGTATTTAAATTTTCCTGAATCGTGGAAGATATTGGACTTGTTGATGAGGTGCCCGGGCAGGCAGGAGGTACTCGCCTAGTTGTGCTTGCGGGGGTTGAGCTCTGGCCCTTTGGTCCCGCCTCTCAACTGTCAATCAACTGGTGTACAGATTCCTGAGCCTACTGGGCTCTATCATCTACATTTGAAACTGTGTATGGAGTCAGCCTCCACCACATCCCTGCCTAATGCATTCCACCTGTTAACTACTCTGACACTGAAAAAGTTCTTTCTAACGTCCCTTGTGGCTCATGTGGGTACTCAGTTTCCACCTGTGTCCCCTTGTTCGCGTACCACCCGTTTTAAACAGTATCTTTATCTACCCTGTCAATTCCTCTGAGAATTTTGTAGGTAGGGATCATGTCTCCCCCTTACTCTTCTGTCTTCCAGTGTCGTGAGGTGCATTTCACGCAGCCTGTCCTCGTAATTCATGCTTCTTAGTTCTGGGACTAGCCTAGTGGCATACCTCTGAACTTTTCAAGCTTCGCCTTGTGCTTGACAAGGTACGGGCTCCATGATGGGGCCGCATATTCCTGGATTGGTCTTACATATGTGGTATACAAAGTTCTGAAGGATTCCTTACATAGGTTCCTGAAGGCTGTTCTGATGTTATCCAGACACGCATGCGCCACAGATTTTATTCCTTTTATGTGGGCTTCAGGAGACAGGTTTGGTGTGATATCAACTCTCAGATCTTTCTGTCCATTTCATGAAGGACTTCATTTCCCATTCTGTATCCTGTGTCTGGCCTCCTGTTTCCACTGCCTAGCTTCATTACCTTGCATTTACTCGGGAATTTACTTATTTCACACTGTCTTCAACATTTACTTGCATGGTATGCAAGTTAGGGACACTGACTTGAAGTTCAGTGCCTCCTGCTTATCACCCTTCTTGTATATTGGGACTACATTGGCCGTCTTCCAAATTTTTGGCAGTTCACCCGTTACCAGTAACTTGTACACCATGGAGAGTAGTAGGCACAGAGCCTCTGCTCCTTCCTTTAGAATCCATGGCGAGATTCCATCCGGGCCTATAGCCTTTGTCACGTCCAAATCTAGCAGATGCTTCCTCACCTCCCCACTGGTAATCACAAACTCCGCTAGTGGTGTCTGGGTTGGTGTTCCCTCCCTTAACTCTGGGACTGCTCCTTGCTCTGGTGTGAAGAATTCCTGGAATTTCTTATTGAGTTCCTCGCACACTTCCTTGTCGTTTGTAGTGAATCTTTCTGCCCCTAGCCTCAGTTTCATTACCTGTTCCTTCACTGTTGTTTTCCTCCTGATGTGGCTATGCAGCATTCTGGGTCGAGTCTTTGCCTTGCTCGCTATGTCATTTTCATATTGCCTCTCTACCTCTCTTCTCACCCTGACATATTCATTCCTGGCGCCCTGGTATCTTTCTCTGCTCTCAAGTGTCCTGTTATTCCTATAGTTTCTCCACGCTTACTTTGCTGCTTAGCTAGCCAACATTTCTGATTAAACCATGGGTTTCTCATCTGCATTTCACTGTTTCCCTTTTGGTCTGGAACAAACTTGTTTGCTGCGTCCTTGCACTTCTGCGTGATTTAGTCCATGTCTTGGGCCGTCTTTCCCCTGAGCTCTGTTTCCCATGCTATATCTGTTTGGAATTTTCTCATCTCCTCATAGTTTCCCTTTTGGAATGCCAGCCTTTTGTTTTCAGTATCCCTCCTCGAGTTGAATAACCCTTCTTCAATCAGGTACTCAAAACGCCAATACACTGTGGTCGCTCGTTCCTACTGGGGTCTCAAAACTTATTTCTATCATGTCGGAGTCGTTCAGAGTGAAGTCTAGGTCGAGTCTCGCTGGTTCATCATTGCCTCTCATCCGTGTGGGTTCTCTGACATGCTGGGTTAAAAAGTTTCTAGTCACCACTTCCAGTAGTTTGGCTCTTTACGTATCCTCGCTTCCATGCGGTTCCTAGTTCTCCCAGTCAATCCTTCCGTGATTGAAGTCCCCCCATGATGAGCAGGTGGGATCTATTTCTACAGGCAGAGGATGACCTCTCAATTATAGTGTTAACTGCCGTGTTGTTGTTATCATACTCTTGACTGGGTCTTCTGTCATTTGGTGGAGGGTTATATATTACTGCTACTACTATTCTTGGTCCTCCCATTGTCATGGTGCCTGCTATGTAGTCTCTGAATCCCTCGCAGCCCGGGATAGCCATCTCCTTGAAGCTCCATTCTTTTCTCATGAGTAGGGCCACTCCGCCTCCTCCTCTACCTTCCCTCTCTTCCCTTATTACTGTGTACTTGTGTGTGTGTGTGTGTGTGTGTGTGTGCGTGCGCGCGCATGTTGCAACAACTATAGGTCGCAACCGGGTTCTTTGATGGTCGAACCAAAGTACTAGTATCCGACTCCAAGTCGGTAGTGGCTTTCAAAGTGTAGGTTTGGTAATGCAAGCAATACAATGGGGGGGGGGAGCTGAAATGAACAACGCTTCATCATTTATCAATATATTCACTTAACTTATTACCACTTTCCCATCACCTTAAATATAAAATATAAAATGAACTAATATTACTACACGTCAATATTTACATGTGTCGCTCTAACATAGGACACTAAGCGCTCCTCGATGCTAACGCAATGCAGCCTTTGTCAACTTCCGTGTTTCCTCAACACACAGTACCGTCCTCAACCAGTACTAGGAAACACCAACGAGTCTACCCTAGCCACGGGCCAGCCTACTGACCGTATAACTAGGGGGGCCTCTTGTGAAGGCCCACAATCACTCTCCAGCCTGTTGCTGGCAGAGAACCTTAGCTACGTGCTGACGGGCCGCTACACGGACATACACAAGGGTAGCTAACCCCTGGCAGGAGCCTCAAGCAATGGACTAGTAACGCTACTCAATAGCAACTCGCTGTCTGTCGTCTCTTCTTCTAGTCCCGGGATACGCTAAATTCTTCCACTGCCACTCCACAGGCAGAAAGTAGACACAAGTTCCTCTTCGGCGGCGGCTCACTTAATTTAATCAAGTAGAATTAAATAGAGAGATGTTAGGCTGCCCAGGATTGACTGCTTTTCTCCGTACCACAACAGCCCTACGTCGCCTCTGTGGATACAGACACGTCATCAGTAAACTGGGCGGTACTTGTAAACTAGGAAACCCACTTACGGACTCTGGTATTGACATTCAGCTCATATAACAACAGATGGCGCTGATTTCAAGTCACCTCACCAGAGGTCATCCACAGCGACTCCTCTGACTGACCAAGGCAGGAATCTTGAGCCTTTTGCAGGTTTCAGACTAACACCACCAGATGGCGTCCGATATTGTGGTGGTTACGGAGCAGACTCACAGATGGCGCAGACGTCGCTACGCCACACTCCGACGATGTAGTCGGGTTCATAACAATGATGACCTCCCTGGTGTATCAGGAGGATAGCTGGTTATCTTGGAGTTAGGTCAAGCACGTCTCACTGTTATCACTTATCTCTTCATTAACAAATGCACATGACCAATTACTGCTAATGCCAGAAGCGCTCTCAGCCGCCTTCACTAATATTGTTACATCCTCCGGTAACAATTAACTCAAGTAAATGTAATTAGCAAGCCGCTATTAAGGGTTGTAGTGAAGGTCGCTCAGCAACACGAGACAATATTGCAAAGGCTGTTCCTATTTTCAAACCTAACTTGTACTGCACAAGCTGCAACCTCTTGTACTTGTTGAAACAGTCAAAGATAAGGTATAGTGCAAGCAGTCACTCGGCCCACCACAAGACACTCGGACCACCACAAGACACTCGGCCCGCCACAAGACACTCGGACCACCACAAGACACTCGGCCCGCCACAAGTCACTCGGCCCGCCACAAGACACTCGGCCCGCCACAAGACACTCGGCCCGCCACAAGACACTCGGCCCGCCACAAGACACTCGGCCCGCCACAAGACACTCGGCCCGCCACAAGACACTCGGCCCGCCACAAGACACTCGGCCCGCCACAAGACACTCGGCCCGCCACAAGACACTCGGCCCGCCACAAGACACTCGGCCCGCCACAAGACACTCGGCCCGCCACAAGACACTCGGCCCGCCACTAGTCACTCGGCCCGCCACTAGTCACTCGGCCCACCACTAGTCACTCGGCCCGCCACTAGTCACTCGGCCCGCCACTAGTCACTCGGCCCGCCACTAGTCACTCGGCCCGCCACTAGTCACTCGGCCCGCCACAAGACACTCGGCCCACCACTAGTCACTCGGCCCGCCACTAGTCACTCGGCCCGCCACATTGTACTCAAGTCCCTATGAGCCAATCTCTCCGTGCGTGCGCGCTTGTGCACGCACGCCAAAGATTCCCAAAGCATTATTCTTTCTTCAACAATCTTGAGTCATTTATATTACGATGTAAACTTTGAATATACCGTTCAGTAGTAAATTAACCGGCATTAATTACTCACGGCGCAATTATGTGGAGATCTATTGTAATTAAGATGAGTAATGTGAGGTTATCACAGGGAGGGAGACAAGGTGGTGGGCCGGACGCCACCTCCAGAGACAAGGTGGTGGGCCGGACGCCACCTCCAGAGACAAGGTGGTGGGCCGGGCCGCCACCTCCAGAGACAAGATGGTGGGCCCGGGCCGCCACCTCCAGAGACAAGGTGGTGGGCCGGGCCGCCACCTCCAGAGACAAGGTGGTGGGCCGGACGCCACCTCCAGAGACAAGGTGGTGGGCCGGGCCGCCACCTCCAGAGACAAGGTGGTGGGCCGGGCTGCCACCTCCAGAGACAAGGTGGTGGGCCGGGCCGCCACCTCCAGAGACAAGATGGTGGGCCCGGGCCGCCACCTCCAGAGACAAGATGGTGGGCCGGGCCGCCACCTCCAGAGACAAGGTGGTGGGCCGGGCCGCCACCTCCAGAGACAAGGTGGTGGGCCGGGCCGCCACCTCCAGAGACAAGATGGTGGGCCCGGGCCGCCCACTTATAGTAATGCAGCTTTTATCTCCTCAAAGCCCGCGCGGGCCGCCACCCGCTACAGGGAGCGACCCACAAAACCTTTTAAGCTAATTCCTCAGCAGGAGATCATATTGAATAAGGAAGTATGAGCTGTTGTAATACAATGGTACAGAAGCCTCTGTAGTCTCCATGTCATGGTTACAAGTCTTGCAGTTAAGTTAATGCAATGCAAGTTGTTTAGGTAATATATATCCCAAGACGCTGAATATAAGTTTGGCTTAGTGATAAAATGGCAACTTCCACCTTGACACTCTTCCCTGCCGAGACAAATTGTTCTCCAGGTGGGATGGGTGGGTCGGCCCCGGGGGATGGGTGGGTCGGCCCCGGGGGATGGGTGGGTCGGCCCCGGGGGATGGGTGGGTCGGCCCCGGGGGATGGGTGGGTCGGCCCCGGGGGATGGGTGGGTCGGCCCCGGGGGATGGGTGGGTCGGCCCGGGGGATGGGTGGGTCGGCCCGGGGGATGGGTGGGTCGGCCCGGGGGATGGGTGGGTCCGGCCCCGGGGGATGAGTGGGTCGGCCCGGGGGATGGGTGGGTCAGCCCGGGGGATGGGTGGGTCAGCCCCGGGGGATGGGTGGGTCGGCCAGGGGAATGGGTGGGTCAGCCCCGGGGGATGGGTGGGTCGGCCAGGGGAATGGGTGGGTCAGCCCCGGGGGATGGGTGGGTCGGCCCGGGGGATGGGTGGGTCGGCCCGGGGGATGGGTGGGTCGGCCCGGGGGATGGGTGGGTCGGCCCGGGGGATGGGTGGGTCGGCCCGGGGGATGGGTGGGTCGGCCCGGGGGATGGGTGGGTCCGGCCCCGGGGGATGAGTGGGTCGGCCCGGGGGATGGGTGGGTCAGCCCCGGGGGATGGGTGGGTCAGCCCCGGGGGATGGGTGGGTCGGCCAGGGGAATGGGTGGGTCAGCCCCGGGGGATGGGTGGGTCGGCCCGGGGGATGGGTGGGTCGGCCAGGGGAATGGGTGGGTCAGCCCCGGGGGATGGGTGGGTCGGCCCGGGGGATGGGTGGGTCGGCCCCGGGGGATGGGTGGGTCCGGCCCCAGGGGATGAGTGGGTCGGCCCGGGGGATGGGTGGGTCAGCCCCGGGGGATGGGTGGGTCCGGCCCCGGGGGATGAGTGGGTCGGCCCGGGGGATGAGTGGGTCGGCCCCGGGGGATGGGTGGGTCGGCCCCGGGGGATGGGTGGGTCGGCCCCGGGGGATGGGTGGGTCGGCCCCGGGGAATGGGTGGGTCCGGCCCCGGGGGATGGGTGGGTCGGCCCCGGGGGATGGGTGGGTCGGCCCCGGGGGATGGGTGGGTCGGCCCCGGGGGATGGGTGGGTCGGCCCCGGGGGATGGGTGGGTCGGCCCGGGGGATGGGTGGGTCCGGCCCCGGGGTATGGGTGGGTCGGCCCCGGGGTATGGGTGGGTCGGCCCCGGGGGATGGGTGGGTCGGCCCCGGGGGATGGGTGGGTCGGCCCCGGGGGATGGGTGGGCGACGGAGTGGGTTGACCCAGGTGTTAGCATTCAAATTGTAGGACGGTTGTTGTCTAGCCAATCACAGAGACGGTTAGCCCATGACGTCACACGCCAGAGCCGGCACTAGGCCGTGCTCAAGTAGGCCTCAGTTATCTCAGACCTCAGACAAGGGTAGGACCTCGTGACCTCGGGCGCTGGATATATCTTAAGTACCTTACTTATTAAACAACTGAAGTGAACTACTGTGCATCTCTACAGCCAAGTAAGCACCGTACGACAAGGTAACGTGGTAGCACCAGTGGGACTCAGAATTTGTTCCCGAGCAAGAAACTCCAGTGCCCACATCGTCACGTGTCTACAGCCTCCACCCCGTCCAAGCCGCCACAGCCACCCCGTCCAAGCCGCCACAGCCACCCCGTCCAAGCCGCCACAGCCACCCCGTCCAAGCCGCCACAGCCACCCCGTCCAAGCCGCCACAGCCACCCCGTCCAAGCCGCCACAGCCACCCACACATCGTCAATATTCATTATACTGTACCAGTCCGGGGTCCTACCATCAACCATTACGTTAGGTCATCGTTCACAGAAGTAAGGCACAATAATCAGCAGCAAGAACATCATTTCGTCAGTGAGGGGGAAGAGGAAATTTCCACACCAGCCATTTTGAATTTCCGGCATCATTTTCTGACCTCCGCGCCACCCACTATCACCCACAAGCCGACAGCAACAAGCCTTGTGTGTGTTTGCCAGCTACTGTTATCGTTGTCAATCATCATCTCAAGTTTCAATTGATCATCAGATGTGTTGTACAGTTTTTGAAGACATACTGGTGTAACCTGTGTTTGACTAGTGACGCCACCAGCCTCGTCACCTCGCTGCCACTCACATCACCACTGCTACTTCACTCTGCAGTGGACTTTTGCCTACACTCCTGCATAGCAACTGTGCTTCCTTCCCCATAATCGTCGCAATATCATAGTTCCTGCATTATCGTCTTGCTCCTGACATCCTTATCTCTACTGTGGGGTGCCACACAAGCTTCTAGACATTGCCGCGAGGTGCGCCACCGTTGCCCAGATATAAACAAACTCAATGTGTGCCTCATCATACACCTTCACATAGTTTCTTCTATTTTGGCTAATGGTCATTCTCATGTCCTGCACTCCCAATATAAGTAAAGGGTAGATAACTTTTACATTGCTATACCATAACAGTGTTTTGAGGAGAAATAAACTCTGTTTTATGTATTATTCACCTCCAGTGACTTGTTAAATATTGAAGTTGGTTGCCACTCCACACAAACAGTTTCCCTGAGTCGTTTCAACATTTTCTGCCTTCAACAGCAATCCCATTGAGCATTAGTTGTGTTCCTAGAGTGTAATTAGAAAATTTGAAGTTCAGAGAAGCAAGAAATACTTGTTTATCCAGCAGTTAAGGACTTACACAATAGAACATTTTGTATATCTCTCCAGACCTTAATTTGTAGTTTATTCTTTCAGTATTTTAAATTAAATATTACCATATGTTAACAATTAAAGTGTTACTCACATACCTGTGTCTAATTTTTACCAGTTTCTTTTAGCACATTTCCATATTGCCACATGTTGAGTCGATTTTTTTTTAATTGCAATTACACTTTCTAATTTTTATAATCAAGTTTGCTGCGCTTAGCCTGGTTCAATTATTCACATTACCCGAAATTCCAGCCATATTCAAACCAGATAGCTCATTTAATTTACAATTTTGCTTGTTTCCAATTATTTTATTTACACTTATTCCCTGCACCAGAGTAAGAATTAAGGATCTGGGAGTGTCTGCGTTATCGGATTTCATTGCAGAAAGTGAAACGAGTAAAGTGAACGATACATTTGTTGAACCCTCCTGGCACACAGGGCAGGATGGTACCGTTACATTGTATATTGCAAACACTAATAATGCCGACATCCATCTCCAGTCTGGCACTCATGTTGTAGATTTTGCCCATTACTCGTTACCGGTGCGAGTCGTGGAGGATGTCTCCTTGAAACACATTGTGTGTACACTCACACCAGGAGAACATGGATCTCAGCCAGAGGTGCAAGCACACCTCATTCCTACTGATTCCCCTGACTCTGTGGTTCAGCTTTTGGAAATTTTGAACTGGAATAGAGCCGTTGTTACTCTACCAGGAGAAAAATTAGGTGTCACTACTCTTATTACACATAAAATTCCCCTAAAGCAAAAAACTATGCCAATTTATGTACCAGCTTACCGGCTACCACGTTCTCAGAGAGCAGAAGCTGATAGACTCTGAGGAAATGTTACAGAGTGATGTAATTGAGTCAAGCAATTCGCCATGGAACGCCCCATTGATTCTTGTACCAAAACAAGTTAGGACATTGAGACCTGTAATCGATTATGGGAAGCTTAACAGAGTAACCATACCCGACCGTTTCCCACTTCCAGTCTTAAATGATTTGGTGCAAAGCATAGGTCGAAACAAAGTATTCTCAATGTTAGATTTGTTGCAGGGATTCTGGCAAATCCCACACAAATCCACAGATCACCAACCATTAATTCCTATGATCAAGAATAAGAATCCTGTTGGAAAGTTTGGCAGATATTTGCTCAGAATTCAAGAGTTCAATCCCACATTTGGTTATACTCCAGGAAAGCAAAATGTTGTAGCTGATGCACTTTCTCGACACGTAGCTGCAATTCATTTAAATTACCCAGCATTAGACACTACAGTAGTCGACACGGGACAGAGACAAGATCCCAAATGGGCATCCATAATTAAGTTTTTGACTAAGCAAGATTCTCGCCCGATTCACAAACGTCCAGTACCATTGAAAGAGTTAGTGATGTTTGACAATTTACTGTGTAGAGAAGTAAAGCTAGGGACACCCTTGAAGATGTTTTGTCAGTTGTTCCAGCTGTTTTGGTAACAACTGTGTTAAAGATTATCCATGATACTCCCACAAGTGCACATCCAGGAAAGGATCGTACTCTCCAGCAAGGTCGATTGAAGTATTTTTGACCAAAAATGGCTAAAGAGATTGCTCATTTTGTTGACAGATGTTTAACCTGCTTACAGACCAAGGAACACGTTGTGGGACCTAACCCAGTTCATGTGTACCCGGCGACTAGAGCACCTTGGGAACGAGTTTCAAAGGATTTCTTGAGGTTATCTTGAGATGATTTCGGGGCTTTTTAGTGTCCCCGCGGCCCGGTCCTCGACCAGGCCTCCACCCCTAGGAAGCAGCCCGTGAGTGCTGACTAACACCCAGGTACCTATTTTACTGCTAGGTAACAGGGGCATAGGGTGAAAAAAACTCTGCCCATTGTTTCTCGCCGGCGCCTGGGATCGAACCCAGGATCACAAGTCCAGCGTGCTGTCCGCTCGGCCGACCGGCTCCTAAAATTTGTTGACAATTTTTGCAGAAACAGAAAAGGGGGAACAAACTCTTGCTTGTAATGATTGAAAAATTTTCATGACATTGCGATGTAGTTGCTATCCCGAACAGAACAGCAGAAACTGTAGTCGGTGCATTCCATGACCAAATAATTTGTAGATATAGTATACCTAAAGTAATTCTTTCAGATAAAGGTCCAGAGTTCAATAACAGTATCTTAACAACTTGTGTGAATTTTACAACA